GTACACTGGTACAGATAGAAACTGGAAACACAGGGAATCCAGGGCGGATGATCCCTTCAGGACCAGTGGTGAGAGTGGTGATACTGGGAGGGTGGGATGGAAAGGGGGAACCGATGTAACCTCTTCCCTGTGGGACGGACAACAGAAACGTAGGTGAAGGGAGACATCGGACAGTGCAAGACATGACAAAACAATAATTTATAAATTATCAAGGGTTCATGAGGGAGTGGGGAGCGGGGAGGGAGGGAAAGAAATGACCTGATGCCGGGGCTTAAGTGGAGAGCAAATGTTTTGAGAGTGGTGAGGGCAGTGAATGTACAAATGTGCTTTACACAATTGCTGGTGTAAATTTTTTTTTTTACACAATATGGGTTGTGATTAGAGTGTATGAGCCCCTAATAAAATGATTTTAAAAAAAATTAACGTCTCAGCTTTTCCCTTGCCTGTTTGTACTTGGTGCTTGAGTAAAGTAAAATGTCAAAAGCTAGTGGTGGGATCGAGAATGAGAAGTACTGGATCTTGTCCAGGCCTCTGGCGCTTTAACCCAAAACTCCAAACTCTGCAGTATGAAGACCCTATTGGGGTCTATAATCTTTTGGCTTTTATTTCATCGTTCCTTCTAAAGTTAGAGTTCACATTGGTGCTAGATTAATTCTGCTGTTAACTCTTCTTGGGGAGAAGATAAAGCAAACTATATGACTTGCCTATGCAATTTTTCTTATTTAGCATATTCTTAGACTAGTTTGAGAAGGGATGCTGGTGGTGTTGTGGGTTACATATTAGGCTGCTAACCACAAGGTCCACAGTTCAAAACCGCCAGCCACTCTTGCTCCTGGAGCAGTAACAGAATCAATAGAGGTAGTTAGGTTTTCCTTTTCTAACCTGCTGGTGCTGTACTCAACCTCCCCACCCTTCCCACGATACCAGATGGTTAGTTGCTCTGTTCATTTCACATCTGAATGCACAGAGCAATAATCGGCTTATTGCCTGAGATCTCTGTCCAGCAGCTGCTTACCTCGTTCTATGCACGCGGGAGGCCTGCCGGTACCCGTTTCAGGTTGGTGAGGGCCCACTCAACACGGAGCTAGTGATTTTCTGTTCTTCTCTCCTGGGGTGCACACATGATGAGCCAGACCTGTCTAGACCAGTCGTTCTCCACCTTCCTAATGCAGTGACCCTTTATGCAGTTCCTCATGTTGTGGTGACCCCCCAACCATAAAATTATTTTCGTTGCTACTTCATAACTGTAATATTGCTACTGTTGTGAATCGAGCAACCCCTGGGTCATTTGACCTCTAAAGGGGTCGTGACCTACAGGTTGAGAACCACTGGTCTAGACAGAGATGCATGTGAACAAACATGGTAGGAAGTGCCGAGCTAAGTCCTCAGAGGGACTACTTTAGTTTCGCAGGAGACTGGGCCTAATCCAGGACCTTGAGTGTATGAGCCATTGGCTTAGGCTTAGCATATTTATTGTAACTGGGAAGAGCGAGGTATGTGGCATAAAGCTATCTGGCTGCATGGCTGGTCAAATGCTCGAGTGGAGAAGGGAGATGGTTGGCTGCAAGATGCCGCCACATAACACAGGTCCTGAGTTAATGGTCAGGATGTATGATGGCGTTATCTCTGGGGCAGAGGCTTGGCAAGATTTGACAGTGCATTAAATACTGGGCAGAGTAACTGTGTTAGGCCAGGTTGACTAGAGAAACATTAATCCAGTGACACCCCTGTGTGGGTCAGAAAAAGTTTTATATCAAGAAGTGATTGTATAATTGGAAAACATCCCAGCCCAGTCCAGCTCAAGTCCATAGTCCGATACTGGTCCTTAAGTCCCTCTTCAGACTCCTGCGGACACGCGATGATGCAGAATGCAGGAGTATCACCAGCCAGTGGGTGCTAAGTCGTGTGGCTCCCATGGTGGTGGACGCATCCAGGATCAGCCAGCAGGAATGTGAAGGCAGAGAAGGGGAGGTTCCCAGAGTCCTCCTCATGAGAGGGCTGCGCCCACAAGGAGGCACTATCAGGCACTTGATTGGCAGACTAACCTCCACCCCTCCACTTCTATGTATCTTCAAGTTGACATGAAATTATGTAACTACTCTAGTAACCTATTAGAACTCAAGCCTGCTGGCAGGACTAGCCCGAGGCATGTGGATTCCATGTCTTCTGAGATCCACAGCACCTGGAGCTCATCCTTATGATCCTGCAGTTCACTGTTGCACTTCAGACAGGCCAGTGTGGCCTGCAGTGGGGAACCCAGAGTTGAAGGCTTGGTGTCCTAGCCTGGGTGTGGGAGTGTAGCTTCACTTGCAGCCCCCTCCAGCAGCAGGCTACCATGGCCTGTCCAGGTTGGCTTAGAAACTAGGGGGTCATGAAGTTTCTCTTGGGGATTGTCAGGAGAATGTCAGGGAAAACGATAAGGGACATGGCATTGCAGCATGTTTTTCCTACTATCACAATGATCATATTGAGTAGAAGCTTGATTTCACAAAATCCTCAGCCAAATAAGTGCGAAGATTTAGAGATCATGGAAATGCCCTCCCGTACGTCCCATAGTCAGTTAAATAGTAAGGACTTCTTAGAAAATGCCAGACTTCAAGCAGCCTTTAAACAGTGAGTCATTCTCTTGATACTGGAATGCTGCTTACTCTTTCTTAGTAATTGTGTTTGTATAAATGATGGTTTTAAAAACAATCTCTTTTCCGTCCCCAGGTGATCCCTTATGTTGGCACCATTCCTGAGCAGCTGGACCCTGGGACTTTGATTGTGATACGTGGGCATGTGCCTAGTGATTCAGACAGGTAAAATTTCTGAAGGAAGGAGTGGCTGAACTGTATGTGAGTCATTTCGGAACAGCAACAAAATGTAGGAGAGACCATTTTGATATTTTAAGGCCTGGTTTTGCTTTCATTAGCAGCTCTGGCCTACATGCCGAGGGGATTGGGACGAATGGCTGAATTTAGGCTATTTGGAGTCTGAAATGTTTGACCGCTATGTCTGATGGGCATACTTCAGCTACCCTGTGCGTTCTGTCCCGGAACCATCACAGTACAGCAAACACCACACAAAACAAGGCACGTGAAGTGCTTGTTTTCCTGGTATACACAGAAGTTTACACTCTACTCTCGTCTCAAACACGACGAGAGCGTGTGACATTTTGTGGTTATTACCCAAATGTGATGCAGGCACAAAGAGCACGTGCTGGCACAGTGATGCCGGTGCACTCGCTCAGCATAAGATTGTCGCAGACCTTCAGTGTGTGGAAAATGCACATCTGTAAAATGCAGTAAACCGAGGTGGTCTTTGCGTGGCTAGCTTTCTAGCTAAACAAAAGAATTGTAGTCAGAGTCTAATAGCTGATGGATTGATCTGAGTGGTTTATTGCATGCTTACTTTGGGAACAAATGGCTGGAGTTGATGTTTTTATCAGTTTGAGATGGGTTCAGCTCTTTGTAATTAACATCCAAATAATAACAGTGGTTTAAATAAGATAGACTTACATTTGTCTCACAAAAATTAAGCTTAGACAGTGTAGCCCATTTATGGCCACTCTAAAGTTCTAATAGAAGTAGCCCTCTACATTCCTGGTTCTCATAATCCTGGGGAGCTGGAATTCCAGCTCATCAGACCTGTGCTTTGGGTAGCTACACGGTGTGTGTGGGTGGACAGAAGGCAGATGTCAGCTGCCTTTTGAGGTCATTTCCAGTAGTCGTCTCAGAAGACCTCCACTAACATCTCATTTGAGCTGCACAGGAAATGGAGATACTTTTTTATCCTGGAAAGGGAGGCTAGTTAAAGCTCAGGGGTAGTATTGGTAAGGAAGCAAGGGAGGGAGCTAGACATGGATGAGGGAACAAGGGATTAGACCATATGTCTCAGTCTGGGTTTTTCCTGCTTGCTGCCCTTATCTGCAGAAGTCCCCGTAGTTCACCTTGTGGCTGGTAGTCTGTTGTCGTAGATACTCTGAAGTCATAGACATTCTAATCTGTTCGAGCCTAACAGCTGCTTTAGATTGCCTCATCAGAAAATGCTCAGTTGCCACTTTTTGTGAAGAACCAGTTCTTGATATGATAATTATTATCACTAGATATTATAAGCAAGCTCTGGCACGGAGGAGTTTGTACTCTGGCAGTCTGTCACAGTGTTATTCTGATGGGTTGTATTGGTGGCCACCCCCTAATACATATATAGTATATCAAATGGTCTGATTTGTGCAGAGTTATACTCATACTGGATTGGGAAATCATTTTTTCTATTACTTGTAGAAAGGCATTAATTAAGTACAAAATATTCAATCAGGTCATTGAGTCTCATATAAAGATAAGAATATGACCCAACCTACTCTTCTTCTAAGTACAGTGGCCCAGTTATTTTCCAGCACTCTACATATTATGAAGGGACACTGGGCATAAGGCTGCGGTTGCCAGGGTTGCGGCTCACACCGCCAGCCACTCCACAGGAGAAACGTGCCTGCTTCAGAAGCCCTATATTGGGCTGCTGTGACTTAGAACTGACTTGATGGAAATAGGCTTAGGCATACTATGGCTAATGGAAGGCCTACAGGTGGCAACCAAGTAAAACACACCATGGCTTACTGGCTTGCGTAGAACTATCAGCCAGCCAACTGTTGTCTATTTGAAGCTAGTGCTGAGAAAGTCAGGGTGTGGCCTTTATTTGTAGTTCAATCCCCTCACAAATGTGAGCTTAAGGAGAAGTATGAGTGAGCCGAGCTCGGCAAGAGGGAGGACCCCTGGCCTGTTGGTGATGAGTCTGTGTAGGTAAAGATACCTGGCAGGAGGTGCTGAGGCAAATCTTTGATGTTTCTTGGGATCCAAACCTTGTCTTGCTTACCAGAGTGACTTTTGTGGTTGGTATGTGTGTTAGTCTGGGTTGACTAGAGAAACAAATTCAGAGGTACTCGGTGTGTAGAAAAGAGCTTTATATATAAGCAATTGAATATTGAGAAAACATCCTAGCCCAGTCCAATTCAAGTCCGTAAGTCTGATACTTATCTATAAAGTCCTCTTCAGACTCACGAAAACACGTGCAATGACGCCGGATGCAGGAAGATCACAGGCCAGTGGTGGGAAGTCTTGTGGATTCTGTGGCGTTGTAAGCATCTCAGCGCTGGCAGGGTCTCCATGTGGCTCCTCCAGCTGCATCAGGGTAGCTTTATGTGGCTTCTCGTCAGAAATGACTTGCAGGGAGTCAGCGAGCGTCTCCCCTCCAGTGAGCTATTTATTTCTTTAGCACCTCCATATGAGGTCATCAAGCTGCAACCTGATTGACAGGTAAACTCCACCCCTTCACTCATAAGTCTCAAATTGACAACAGATTATGTAACTGCACAGTGCAATACCAGCTGTTTGTAAAATGCGTTTAAATCTTGTAACCGCTTCTGTGGAGTAAGAATGTGGCAAAGATCCAGCGAGAATGGACATTTGTAGGCTCTCCTATGTGCAGGCTCCCACGGCCCTCATGTCTTTGCTCTCAGGTTCCAGGTGGACTTACAGTGTGGCAGCAGTGTGAAACCCCGAGCGGATGTGGCCTTTCATCTCAACCCACGTTTCAGAAGATCTAGCTGCATTGTTTGTAATACTCTCCTTAATGAAAAATGGGGACGGGAAGACATCACCTCTGACACGCCTTTCCAGAAAGAAAAATCTTTTGAAATTGTGATAATGGTGCTGAAGGAGAAATTTCAGGTTCGTTTTGGAGAATGATTAAGTTGAATCATCATGAGTGAGAATAAGATTACAGGGAAGGTTTGCACCCTTTTTTCCTCACCCTTGGGCTGCAATTTGCACGGTCGGCAGTTCAAAACCACCAGCACCTCCTTGGGAGAAAAACTGGGCATTCTACTCCCATAAAGTTACAATCTCAGAAACCCACAGGGGGTTGCTCTGAATCAGCAATGACTCAGTGGCAGTGATTATGTTTTAATCCAGAGAAAGTATAAACCCACACTCCCTGCCACCAAGTCCGTGCTGACTCAGTGAACCCGAGCTCCCAGGGTAGAGCTGCCCCTGGGCCTTTGCTGTGAGTTTCCCGGAGGCACCTGACTACATGAAGGAGCGTAACTGCTGTGTGTGGCCATGTGGGAATGCAGGTCTGTCGTGGCCACTTCTTTTTATTAGAGCTCATTTCTCTGAGCTTGGATGAGCGTTATCCTGAATTGACAAGGCATTACATTAATTCAACAACTCTGCCAGTGAGTCCATGACAACTCATAGCAACCCTGTAGGACAGGGTAGCACTATCCTTGTGAGTTACCGAGACTGTAACTCTTTATTGGAGTAGAAAGTCCCGTCTTTCTCCCTTGGAGCAAGTGGTGGTTTCGATCTGTGGATGTACCTCACAATTAGCAGCCCATTGAGCAACCACTATGCCATCAGGGCTCCTGTCATATTAACTATGTGAAAATTATGTGATAATAAATTTAATTGCCATTACCCAAGCCTGTGCAAAGAATCCAGAACTGGTAGGCAGATAGGGAATTTCAGTATGGGAGTAAAAACAGTTCTCTGGAATCTAGTTTTGTCAGAAGGTAACTCTTTAGGCTCATGAGAAACTCAGACAGGATCTTAAATCTTTTGTATAGTAAGTTCTCCCACTGGCTTCATACCACATTGCATACCTAGAGAATATGTGGAACAGGTTTTGAAGGTCCTGTAACCGTTGTCCCTCACTCAAGCTGTAGAGCTTACTCAGAAATAGAGATTTGTACTGATTGGAATGAAAACTCTCCATCTATGGGTACGAATCCTTTCTGCCCTTCAGGGAGCAGCACACCCTGAGATCCCCCGAGTCAGAGGCCATGTTGTGTGCTGCTTCGATATTCCCTGCGGAACCTCATGCAGTAGCTGGCATGCGGGGGAAAAGACAAGGAGGAACTAAGTGTACTGAAGACCACTCTATCAGGCACTGTGTAAGAGACCCACATAAGTAGTCCGTTGGGGGACAGATTTTCTTAGATTAAAAAGTGCATCTCAGTTGAGTTTGGTAACTGTTTGTCTGAACATTCTCCACATGTATTAGCCGTCTCTCGTGGTGCTGCAGTGTCCTTGTTAAGGAAATGTGGTAGTGAACCTGCTGGGCCTGTCTTTACCCTGAGCTTTTAGGGCTCTAGCACATTTGTGATTCCAAGTAGCCTTTGAACCCCGGGATGCACTTACACGTATGCACGTACGCACACACACACACACATTCTCAATGCATGTATTTGTCTGGATCAGGGTCCATGGTAGCTGATGAGATCAGGAACTCAATAGAAGTTAAGAAACGATACTGGTATTGTAGTTTCTTTCTATCACAATTTGGTCAGACATGAAAAGATATAAATTTAAACCCGGGAAAATAATTTACTCCCATGGTGGGAGATGTTTTCTCTATCTGTTTAGGTGGCTGTGAATGGAAAACATACACTCCTCTATGTACACAGGATTAGCCCCGAGAAGATCGACACTCTGGGCATTTATGGCAAAGTGAATATTCATTCCATCGGCTTTAGCTTCAGCTCCGTGAGTGTCCTTGCACAGCTTGGTGCCTTCCTTGATAATGATTTTCTGACTAAATGCTGTGGAAATAATCTTTCATATCTCCTATTTTGATAAAGTCATGTAAAATGTACTAACCTTTTTGTAAAGTAAATCTTTCAGACTAGTTATTGGTGGTTGCCATTAGTTGATTCTGCTTTGTGGTCACCACCACTCTCCATGTGGGCAGCAGAACTGCTCTGTGACCTTTCAGATCACCAGGCCTATCTTCTGAGGTGCCTCTGGTGGGTGTGAACTGCTAGTTTCAGTTAGCTAGTTGGATACTTGACTGTTCCACCCAGGACTCCTTTGACCAGGGGCTTTCTCTTGGTAAGATCTCAAGTCTGTTATGGTTCTAGCTAAACACACTTTTTTTTTTTCAACCTAGGAAGAGGAGGTATTTAGTAGTGGAGTATTTCTCTGTTTATCCTAGATGTGAAATGTCTGTCTGCGTTTTCAATTTTGCTAGAAACTCCCATTTTGTCCCCATAAACATTGAACTAATTTACACCCTCCACGCTGGTTATTCTTTTTAATGTTTGCCAAATTGATGGGGGCAGATTCTAATGTTGAACACATTTTGAACGTGTTTTCAAGCATATTTTTATGCGTAGTATCACATAATTGTTTTTGATGTGTCAAGCAGGTATATTTAGAAGATATTCTGATAGATCCTAAGAATTTTTACTGTATTTTTTCTTTGCCCCTTCAGGACTCACAAGGTACCCAAGCATCTTCCATGGAGTTGACACCTATACATAGAGAACATGTAAATATTAAATCTTGTAATGGGCTAGTAGTTTAAAACTGTTAATTTAGTTGACATTAGGTGATAAGCCTTTATTTTTATTTATTTTTTTAAACATTTTATTAGGGCTCATACAGCTGTTATTGCAATCCATATACACATCAATTGTGTAAAGCGCATTTGTACATTCTCAAAACATTTTCTCTCCATTTAAACCCCGACATTAGGTCCTCATTTTTCCCCTCCCTCCCCGCTCCCCCCTCCCTCATGAGCCCTTGATAGTTTATAAATGGGTATTTTGTCATATTATGCCCTGTCCGATGTCTCCCTTCATCCACTTTTCGGTTGTCTGTCCCCCAGGGAGGAGGTCACACACAGTTCCATGTAATCGGTTCCCTCTTTCCTACCCATTCTCCCTTTACCCTCCCTGTTTTGCCAGTCACACCACTGGTCCTATAGGGCTCATCCGTCCTGGATTCCCTGTATTTTCAGTTCCTATCTGTACTAGTGTACCTCCTCTGGTCTAGCCAGTCTTGCAAGATAGAATTCGAGTCATGGTAGTGGGAGTGGGGAGGAAACCTTTAGGAACTAGAGGAAAGTTGTATTTCTCATCATTGTTACATCGCACCCTGACTGGCTCATCTCCTCCCCGAGACCCCTCTGCAAGGGGATCTCCAGTGGCCTACTAATGGGCTTTGGATCTCCACTCCGCACTCCCCCCATCATTCACTATGGTAAGATTTTTTGTTCTGATGATGCCTTACACCTGATCCCTTCGACACCTCGTGGTTGCATAGGCTGGTGTGCTTCTTCCATGTGGGCTTAGTTGCTTCTGAGCTTGATGGCCGCTTGATTACCTTCAAGCCTTTAAGACCCCAGACGCTATACTTTTTGATAGCCGGGCACCATCAGCCTTTATTTTTTAATTACCTTTTAAAATGTGAGGCATTGGACTTTGTCATCACTTAGAGCTAAGGCAGAATTCCTCCGTGGTGCCCTCGTGTGTTTGTGCTGACTTCAGCTATCAGGCTTTGTAACCACCGCCCTCATCTTAGTACAAAGAACTCTTACGCACTGAACAGTGCTGTCCGTGGTGTTGTTTTGTGAATACTGATTACTAGTGTACTTCCATATGTATCTCCTTCCTCTGGGTGACAAGTGCAATTTGAAGAGTGAGTCTTTGCTCTTACCGAAAGAAGGAAGAGCTGAACTGATCTCAGCACATTCAAACCTTACAAATAAAATAGAATTTCAGCATTTTGGGGGCACTCTGTAAAATTCAAGTAGGAATTTAAAATATATTTTATTGTGTATTCAGGCAAGTGTATAGAGCACATTAGATTCCCATTTGAAAATTGCTCGTTAATGTTAATTGCATTTTTCATGATGTATCACCATTCTTTTTCATTGCAATTTCTCATCTTATCGTTTCCTTGCCCCCTTATCTCTCTCCTTTGCTTTAATAAGTTGTTTAACGTTTGATCTCATAGTTGGTTTTATAATAAAGCACTGTACTCACAGATAAAGTTTAAACAGTATCTCAGGGTCCTCCAGTCTCAACTGGTCCAGCAAGGATGTATTTTTTAGGAATCTGAGTTGACAGTTTTTAAATGTATGAATAACTTTTGATGGAGGATAAAGGATTCAGACTAGCAGGATCATTGGACTATTTCTCTAGTCTGTGTAATCTGTACCATTCCCCAGCAGCCTCAGATTAAGCCATGTGCTGGCAGACAGGCATGCATGTCCTCGCCCTGCCATGCTTGGCTTCGACTATTATTACTAAATGTTGCTCTCTCTTCTTACCATAGGTACAGAGGTCTGGCATCTCACAGCTTGTACGTATTCTTGATTCGTTCATAGTAACATTTTGTAAAATTTCCAGAAAAATGAATAGCATAAGCCTTGAAAACCAGGTGCTTGCCCCATCCCTCACTCCAGAACTGTTTCCCTGCAGCCTAGTCATAGAGTCGCACCTAGAATGGCCTACAGCAAGAACAAAGATTCGACTGTCAGTCACACTTTGACTTGTGCCAAAATACTACCTACCAACTCTGTTTCAAAGGTTTGAAGAGCCTCAAATTTTCCATAATAAACTTAAGTTCCACTAGCTATTGTGTAATCTCTGCCCAGTGGGAGCCTGGAGCGCCATGCTATCCTGGGCCTGTCTCAGAGTCACCAGGTGCAGGGTCAGACTTAGTGTGCGTCATCACTTAGCTCTCACCCTGGCCGCTCCTCTTCAGGCGGGAGATAAACCCTGCTCTCAGACCCTTAAGAGGCCACCTTTCCCAAATAAGTTTCATCCACTCCATACCTGCTCATCTCATAACCCAAAATGTACCGAGTGCTTCACCCAGGGTTGGCTGCTAGGGCTATATCTTGGGTCAAGACAGACTTTGTTCCCTTATGGCGTTGATAGTGCAATGGCCTTTCAACTGTGCCCTTTGGATAGTTATCTCATGAAATTGCTTTCATCAGACTGCCTGGGTCTGAATATGGTTTCTTTTCAGACGCTGCCATTTGTTGCAAGGCTGAACTCTTCCATGGGCCCTGAGCGGACTGTCGTCATCAAAGGAGAAGTGAACAGAAATGCTAAAGGGTCAGTATTGAGCTACTAATAGCAGTGCTATACTTCCCCCCCTTGGGGGTTTGCCCCTCACTGTACTCCAGCAGCAGTCCTGTGTGATGTAAGTAGGGTTAAGTGTCTTCTCCTCCTGTGGACTTGGAGGGTTAGACTGTTAGCAAGTTGGCAGCAGAGCCAGGACTGAATTGCAGTGTTCTGACCTAGGCTATCTCACAGCAGTGATTGTAGGAAGCATCTATGGCCCGTTTGATCTGCTGCTAATCATCCTATCCACCCTCATCTCCCACCCTTGGCATAAGCGGAACATCAAACAACTCTGTAAGATCAGATATCTTGTAAAAAATCTGCTTCCCAGGAGCCCAGACTGTTGCAAGTTTGAAATTAGATTGTTTCAGGACCAGAACATGTATAAACAATTAGAAGAAACTTCCTACTTGAAAGGATCCCCAATTTCTGCATTCTGAATCAATTGTTCCTTATTAGCTTTAAGCCTTTTTTTAAATCATCCCAACCAGATCCTAAACCTCAACCAGTGTTTAGGATCAACCAGTGATTTCCAAGTTTTTACATTTTCATCTCAACATAATTATCTCAATGGAAGGCTAATTGAAAGTTTTAAATTTCACTTCCATATGCATTGCATCATATCCATGTGCTTACCTAAGTTTTATAGTTATTGTCATCCTTAGTTCAATTATAATTTTTAAGTTGCAGAAACTGCTATTAGACTCTCCTTTTGGTTAATTGAACCTTTATTTTATTTATCCAAAGCTTTAATGTAGATCTAGTAGCAGGAAAATCAAGGGACATTGCTCTACACTTGAACCCACGCCTGAATAGTAAAGCATTTGTAAGAAACTCTTTTCTTCAAGACTGCTGGGGAGAAGAAGAGAGGAATATCACCAGTTTCCCCTTTGCTCCTGGAATGTACTTTGAGGTGAGATGATACTTTTGAAAATGAGACAGAAAAAGCAATCCTGGGACCAAGGGGCAGGATAGTCAATCCGTGTAAATTACGTGTAGACCATGTGTGCATTGGTTTGATTATATTTTTAAATTTCCCTTTTGACAATCATACCATACATAGTTGGCAAAAATGGTCATGTCCACTCATAGACAATCTTATTTGCATTAGGATGAATGTTTCTTGTCATATCTCAAATGGCCGTGTAACACAGTATCAATCAGTAGGCATTTTAAGAGGAACCTTTTCTCAAGTCTGGACTAACAGTGTTTAATCCTTATTGACTGTGAGGCAAAGTCCAGAAACAGAAACCATTATTTTGCTTCCACTAGCCATCTTCTTCCCTCTTGTTTACACATACAGTTTTAGGTGGCAGTCTCTCACCCAGTGGATTTGTGTATTTAAAAAAGAAAGAAACCAGAGGGTTTCCAAAGCCATGATCCTTATGGAAGCAGACTGCCATGTTGTTAACCTTGTAGCAGCTGAATGTTTAATCATCAGGGATCTTGAGTTTGTGTATGGCGAAGAAAAATACATTGAGATCTTTGGAACTAGCATCCCCGAGTTCCCAAGTGCTTGATCTCTTAAGATGTACCTTTCTCAGAATAGGTCTCTGGGATACTGAGCAGACAGCAATATCCCTGAGCAAGACAGGGCAGAGGGAGCTCTTACCTATTTCCTTCTATTAGATCAGTGTCTTAAACATCACAGGAGGGAAGCTGGCTATACAGCAAGCTGGAAAAACTCTGTGTAGTATAATGAGTCGTCTAATTCTTAACATGCTATTAGTGTACAGCAAATGATTTTTTCTTTATATAATAAACCCAGGGACACCACTAATGATGCGTTTGCTTTCCTTCCAGATGATAATTTACTGTGATGTTAAAGAATTCAAGGTTGCAATAAATGGTGTACACAGCCTGGAGTACAAGCATAGATTTAAAGAGCTCAGCAATGTTGACACACTGGAAATCGATGGAGATATCAACTTACTGGACGTAAGGAGCTGGTAGTAGACATGACTGCTGTGAAAATGAAATACAAAATGGCTTATGTAATACTGGCCTAGTTAAAACATCTCATTGTCATTATATTGTTTTAATGAGCTTGCATAATAAGGCTACAGAGCATTCTCAGCCATTGGGCACAGAACGAGGAACTTTGGGGCGACAGCACCTTATTAAGGCTACTTTGGTCTTGTTCCCACTTTGGTCTTTATTCCACGTCAAACAAGTTTCAAGTACCCACACAGCAGCTGACGGAAGAGGAGCACTTTTTGTCTGTCAGCACTAGGGTAGTGGTGGACAAGAGCCGTGGCGTGCTTGAGCTGAGACTCGTATATGCTGTTTGATTTGGCCACTTCTCTAGACTTCACGTCATTCGCCAGAGTCCTTCAGATCTAGACGTTCAATCCAGTTCTGAACTAACCTGGGCACGAATTAATCCTTTAGAAGACACCAGTCCTTCAACAGTGATTGTTTTCAAAATCATGGTATTATCATGTCCCATAACTGAGAGGTTTAATGTTAATTTCTATCTGGTAGTGAGTTTTCTAAGTATAATAAACACCAATTCCCACTAGCCAGAAAAATTCTTTGGTAAAAAAAGACCACAAAATCTGAAAATGGCAAAAAGATTAAGGCAAAAGCAGTTAAAACAAAAACCCAAGTTATGTTGAAATTAACTTGATGTCAAGCTCTTGTTTGGGAAATGCATATTTCAGAGGATTTGAACTTGGGCTGAATCAAAGGCTTGGACATCCTCCTGCAGAAAGTAAGGTACAAAACCAAACTCACTGCCATTGAGTTGATTCTTATTCACAGCAATACGTAGGACAGAGTGGAACTATTCTGTGGATTTCTATAACTGCAAATCTTTACTGGAGTAGAAAGCCTCACCTTTCTCCCACAGAGCAGCTGGTGGTTTAGAACTGCTGATCCTGTGGTTAGCAGCCCAACTCATAACGCACTACACCACCAGGCAGTATGAATTCAAGTTGTAAAACCTTTATGGGTTAATGAAAAGAATAAGATATAAATGGAAAAACTAGTTATGTAGGCAAAGAAAGTTGTCCACATGCAAACCAACATAAGACCTGAATCAAACCTGTATCAGCAAGTCCAATGCTTACATTTCCGTGACTTTTCTATTCTTTGAAGTGAGTTGGCAGAAATTCTATGTAGAGCCCGTACAGGTCATGTTACATGAAATTTCAAAGGTTGGAAGGGGGGAGTGAGGTAAGAGCAAAAACAGATGATTCTGACATAGGAACTGTTGACTGCCAAATTTAAGTATATATTTAAAGAGATTTTAGTCGTGTTTCCACAAAAATACTATTATCACTTATTTGTAAAAAGTACTTGCTGTATAAACTGCTAGACCTCAATTATTTTTCAGCTTTTTATGTTAAAGTCTTAACACAGGTAGTCCTGCCAAGGTCATATGACACTGAGGGATAAGGAAGGAGTTGTGCCGGGAAGGCTCTAGAATCCAGAGTTGAGATGCTAGAGATCAGTTAGGAGAAAGCAAGAGCCCATTTGTAATGCTTCCTCTAAGTTTTAAACAATTTTCATTTTACATCGAAGTACTATTAAGACTTCCTTTTCGATAGACTATAAAAAATCTTCCATGGTTTTTGGAGGATGGGGAAGAAGCTATTATTTGTTCGTACATTTTATGACACATTTCTTAAAGTGAAATATGCATGCTTAGCAAGCTATATATGTAAACTGCAAGTTGTTCCTTTGTCATACTAATGCATTAAATTTCTATACTGAAGTCCGATCAAAGGCTTTCAGACTCAATAGAAACAAATTTTACGGACAGTTCTTAAACTTTAATCTTATTTGAACTCTTGCCTCTCAGCTTCATAATGACATGCATTAGAGCAGGCGTCCTGAAACTACGGCTCCCTGGCCACATGTGGCCCGCCGAGGACATTAAAAAAAAAAAAGAAAAAAGTTTTATTAGGGGCTCATACAACTCTTATCACAATCCGTACATACAATTGTGTAAAGCGTACTTGTACATTCATTGCCCTCATCATTCTCAAAACATTTCCTTTCCACTTAAGCCCCGGCATTAGGTCCTCATTTTTCTCCCCCCTCCCTCATGAGCCCTTGATAATTTATAAATTGTTATTCTGTCATATCTTGCCCTGTCCGATGTCTCCCTTCACCCACTTTTCGGTTGTCCATCCCCCAGGGAGGAGGTCACATACAGTTCCTTGTAATCGGTTCCCTCTTTCCTACCCACTCTCCCTCTACCCTGCCAGTATCGCCACTCACACCACTGGTCCTGAAGGGATCATCCACCCTGGATTCCCTGTGTTTCCAGTTCCTATCTGTACCAGTGTACCTCCTCTGCTTGAGCCAGACATGCAAGGTAGAATTCATGTCCCGCCAGGTGTTTTTACCGTTTGTTTTTTTACTTCAAAATAAGATAATGTGCAGTGTGCATAGGAATTTGTTCATAGTTTTTTTTTTAAAAACTGTAGTCCGGCCCTCAAATGGGTCTGAGGGACAGTGAACTGGCCCCCTGTTTAAAAAGTTTGAGGACCCCTGCATTAGAGAATATAAACTCAATGCAATGAAAACATACTGAAAATTCTTTCTCACGCCCTTTATGGAAATAAGATAATTCTTAATCCTGGAGGACATGTCACACATGCCTAGTGTTTCAGGCCTTTTCTGTTGTGTCAATGCTCCATGCTCCCTTCCGAACCCCTCAAAAAGACGAAGGGTGCAGCACACTCCCGAGTTAAAACTACATGCAGGAGCGACACCCTCTGTAAATCCTTACAGTCACAGTGGAACGTGAAAAGCCAACCTGCTTAGAGACGATGTTTTGGTTGAAGGCTGAGTAACTCGGAGTGGGGTCATTTCTAGTCTGAACAGGTACCATTACCTCTGGGTATAGAATTAAACATGCCTGCAATATTAACATTTCTATTGAGAAAAGACTAATAGACAAAACACAACAGTGCTTAAAAACACCCTGCACCATTTACTCTTTGTATATACACAAACATGATGGGGAGTGTTCTAAGAAAGAGATGAAAAATCTTTAAATAGGTTGGGACTATTGGCACCAACACAAACATGGCACCCAAAGTCCAAAAATAAAAACATGAAAAATAATCACCAACTCTGAACAAAGTCTGGAAACCGTTTCAGAAGTAGCTCTGGAGGGGCTCTCCCAGTATAACTTCCAGTTGCTGAATCGTCTTTTGGCACTGATGTTCGACTTCTTCACATTCATCTAGGAAAAAAATAAAAATAAAATCTGAGTCCGTTTCTCTGCCTTAATTATCATGACCCGAGCTCTTGCATTCCCTGGCTGTCCTTCAATCAGAAGCATGAGAGGATGTGCCTTAATACGCAAAAAGCACCAAGGGACCTCTCCTGTACTACTACTCCTCATCCAGGCTCTGAAATGTGTATTTGTAAGCTGAGTAAGAACCTCCAACATTCCCAGAAATGCCTCCCTGGTAGTAGCTCACATGGTCCTTGGTCCCTCTCTACATGATAGAAACGAGAATATTCTCATGTTCTGCATCCTGCCTACTAAGATTTCCTGTTATTTTCTTGTGTATGTGGAGGGATAGTGCTTATGAACACATACCGGAGTGGTGCAAACTGGTTTAAACCCGAATTCTTCCTTTCCTATCATTAGCTTTGTTGCCTTTATTAAAGTATTTAACACTTCATGCCTCTAGCTTCCTGCTTTGTAAAATAGTGCTTGTGCTTCATTGGGAGGATTAATTGAAATAATTTATTTAAAGCACCTAACAGCACACTGAATAAATATTGGCTGTTATTAATAGGTGCATGCCCTACCTTTACCCTTAGTAGCCCTCACCAGCTAGATTTAGCAACTCCTTTTCCTCCCTTGTTGGGCACTAAAATAGCTATGAATGTTTGAGGCCAATTAAAAACTCTACTGTAGTCTGCTGTTAGAAAACCACAAATCTAAAGCTAGTGAAACATATGCTTACAAGCTCATTCAAACCATTAGCTCCAGTCTACTCAGACTATACATCAGTGGGAGTGGGTGGAAGACTGGAGCCAATTGCCAAGCACAGTATATCCACATTTGCATTATTGTTGGCATATCTTCACAGAACTTTACTGTATTTCATAGTTTGGAAATTACCTTCCATCAGTTCTGCTAAGAAAGGAATGGACTCTGGTAGCAAGACAATGTAGTTCTCCTTCAGTTTTTCAGCCAGTGCTAACACGGTAATCAAAGCAGCAAACCGAACCTGAAAAGGCCAAGAACAATGATTAAAAACGGGATGTCTTTATCAGCTGAGCTGAGCTGCAGCAAGTACTGTCTAAACGGAATGGTCTCTCTCATTTCGTTCTGCTCATTCAACTTTTACCTAGAGTACCTGTCTATGTAACAGTTTGGGATGTGGCTGTGATACAGGGAGCCATATCGATCAGAAGTTTTCAAGCTATGTTTTAGCACTACAGATGTTCAAATGTGAAACTTTAGTTATGCCTTAAGAACAAAGCAAAAAAATAAGATAGCACATGTAAACTCAATTGTCATGGAATTCCACTGCATCGTTATCTCCCACCACGAAGAAAAAGCAACTCACTGTTTTCATGTTTCGTGATGTCCTAAGACAAGAGGTTTGGGGACTTTAAAAAGTTGTTTATGCCCAAGAATATGAGCTTATGCTAGGAGTTCTTAGGCTAACAATTCCTTTTGAAGCAAAGTCCCTCGGGTTTGGGGACGGTTTGTAACTATGTTGAATAAAGATTTTCTTGATACCATTTGTGTAAGAACTTATAATTCAGAATTTGGAGGTTCATCCAAATAGCCTCATTTCCTAATAAAGTTATAAATTTGAACTTATAAATCCTATGAATAAAATGTTGCTTTGGTCTATTTTATCCACTGAGGTTCTATTAGGCTCAATCATTTGACCCTTGAGTATGGAAGGTTAGCTTCCATTCAACCTACCACCACCACCACTTAACTTTCACAAAATCATAACCCTAAAGTATACAATGGACATAAGGAGGGCTCAAACATTTGTGGAACAATTCTATTGTTTCCCCACACACTTTTGAAGCCTTTTATATAAAGGCAGTCCTCAGGTTGCAAAAGTCGAACCTTGTGGAAAAATGGAATTAAAAGAAAATGGTATTTTTCTAGTTTTTGGAGCCCTTTGTATATACAACCTATTAAAAACCAACCTCTACAGCTAACAAGTATTTTTTTTAAAGTATATGAGGGTAAGTAAAAAGATTGCTACCAAATCAAAATCCTTTATTAAAAATAATCAAAATGTGAAGTTACTGTTTCTTGACATACCCTCCCCTCCTTCTAAGACAAGCTTCCAACCTTATTTGGCCTACCACCCCCTTTTCAGAAAAGAAATTACTTCGCATCCCCTTGATAATTGTGCATAAGGCAAGGTAAAGTATAGGTATCTGCTTTTGCAAGCCCCCAGAATTGTTCCAGCACCCCCCAGGGGTGCAGTACTGCCCACTTTGGTAAACGGTGATCTAGGTCTATATGCTTATAAAGGCGGTGTTTGCACTTCTCTAACCCTTCCTTCCCCAAAGATGTATGCATCTGCTGGTTTACAACATGTTAAAGGCAGTTTTGACATCCTTGAGGGAATGAATAATTTTAAATGTGTCCTGGGCTTGGAGAACAAAAAGAAGGCTGGGGTGGATGGAGTACGGTTTCCTAATGAATTCTTGTAGTGCAGGCCTACTAACCTTGAAAAATTAGCAGGTGCACTGAAAAATCCAACGTGCAATTTTTTATCACCAATAACAGTTTTCCATTTTCTTAAAAATTCATCCTAATAAGCCAATATGATCATCTTGGGCCCTTCAAGAGAATCTATAAAGATTACTCCTTTGGAATCCCCCCAAATAGCTGGCATAACCTTGTAGGCTGACCACTCTGCCTTGAATTTAACTGGCCTAGCAGATCTCAGATGCTACTATTTTAACGGAACTTTAAAAAAAATTTTTTTTTTTAAATACTGTAAAAGCCCAGGTGGTGTAGTAATTACATGCTGGGCTGCAATCCACAAGACCAGCAGTTCAAAACCACCAGCCAGCCAGTCTTTGGGAGGGAAAGGAGACTTTTGACTCCTGTAAGAGCTAGTCTTAGAAACCCACACAGGCAGTTGGATAGGGTAGCTTTGAGCCAATACTGACTGGATGGCAGTGAGTTGTTTTTTCTTTAAATAAGACTAAAGTATTACTAAGAAAAATAGCCTGCAGCTACCCACTGACTGCTGAGACTTGTTGTCCAAACATGTTTTATCTGGAATTAATTCATACATGTTTGAAACTAGAACCCTAGTAGTGATGCCTTTTGACATACCTTTGTTCAATGGGTCATGATAACAAATGAGTGCTACCTACATATGTGCCCTCAATTATCATTATTATTTTATTAAAGATGTTTTAATGGTGTTTCCATTTTTTATGCACAGAACAAAAGAGTGGTGTTTAACATGTTCAGATGCAAACTTCTGCCACATAAAGCTGATCAGTAGCAATCCACCCCCCTCCTAGTTTCCCGGGTCCCCTCTCAGTTTGTGTGCAGTCCACAGTGAGTATGTGCAGCGCTGGGGTGTGTGATGAACACTGGCCACTTCCTCACCTTGGGCGAGGAGTCTCTTGTCTTCAGCAGAATCTGGTAGTTCAGTGGTTTCCACAGAGAGTCATCCGCCACAGCCACGGAGAACTGCCCGATGCACGGTATCAGGTGCTTTGTCACTCGCTCCTGGAACTTCTCGTCTCCCCCAAGCCTGTTTTCCAGCTGTGGAGAGTAAGAGGCAGATTGTAAGGCCTATTGCCTTGCATTTTCTTCTGCCTGAAAAACTCACTGTAAATAATGCTCTATTACCCACTAGCTTTCATGTTGGCAGGATCAAAAGGCAGCTCCAGTCTAATACTCAGTAGAGCACCTTCACCATGCCGAGACTTCTCTGGGCTAAACATACGGGGAACTCAAAAGGAACCGTGTCCTCTTTTCCCTGCAGCTCAGCATCTTGGATGAGTTCTTTCAGAGAGAAGCCAAGCTCTAAAACAGGGGTCCTCAAACGGCAGGCCGCCGAGGACATTTATCCGGCCCGCCAGGTGTTTTTGCCGTTTGTTTTTTTACTTCAAAATAAGATATGTGCAGTGTGCACCGGAATTTGTTCATAGTTTTTTAAAAAACTATAGTCCGGCCCTCCAACGGGTCTAAGGGACAGTGAACTGGCCCCCTGTATAAAAAGTTTGAGGACCCCTGCTCTAAAACATGCTTGAGAAATCCAATTTAATAAAAATTTTATAACGAGACATCATGCTTTCCTTAAAAAAAGCTCAACAGCAGAATTCCATAACAACACTATGACGAGTTAAATCCATGAAAAAAAAATCAATTTTGAAATACAAAGTTCATTAAAAATACTATTTTAAAAAGCTCACGATGCCTAGTACCCTCATTTTAGTATATCTGAAAGCAGCAAAAATGACCATGATGGCTTTTTCCGCAGGGAAAACTGACAGTTACCTGATCAATAAGGGGCATCATCAAAGCTTCTGCTCTCTCTTTACTCAAAAAATGCCGAGTATCAAAAAGACAGATTTTATATAAACAGTTCAAAATAAACTGCAACAGCAAACAGCACTTTTCAGGATCCTTTTCAGAGTCAAAAAAAGCTTCATCTGCAGACAAGAGCAAAACATGAAGTTTTGAAGTTTCCACAGTTTAAGTTTGAACATAAATTGAACATAGATGAAGTTTCCACAGTTTAAGTTTGTACATAAATTATGATCAGTAGAAGGGCAGGGCAGAAATCAATCATAGAAGCTGGACAAACGCAGAGCACACAGGAAGGAAACCCCAGGCCTCATGTACAAGAGATTGCTTCTGTTACAGGATCCTAATGCTTACTTCAGCAAGTTAAATCGCCCAAATCACGAAATTGGTTGCATATTAACAGAGAATAGACCAATCCTAATTTTAACGTTCAAAGTTCTTCCAAGGTCTTGATGTTGATCTTTTTTTTAAGTTACAACAAACATGTCAATGCCTGAAAATGAACTCTTGGCCTTGGATTCAGCATCTGTGACACCTTGTCTCTGCGTACCTCGCCATGTCTCGTACTTATTTGTGTAAGGCACGGGAGCCCTGGTGGCACAGAGGTTACACAAGGTTAGCAATTCGAAACGACGAGCTCTGAAGGAGACAGATGAGGCTTTCTACTGTTGTACAACGGGCGGGGCTACCTGGGCTACAGGGTCTCAGAAATGGCTCAATGGCAGTGAGTCTGGGTTTGTGAGTGTTTGGAAGGCACACACAATACCAGGCAGGCACAGACAGAACGGAAGTGAGCTCACCAACCTGTTTTGGAGATGTTCACCTGATTTAAGGTGTCAGCAAAAGGTTTCACTAAATGGCCAGCAAAGAGAGTAAAAAGTCCCTTCAGCTTCTCAGCAATGCAGTCTGCCAAGTTGTAAAATGTCAGCAATCTGTCCTTCGGGGCATCTTCTGTCTTGGCCCAATCAAACAGCTAGAAAGACAAAGTAGTATCCATTTCACCTTGAACTGGAATGGATTCGATGGCAACTATGCGTTTTACCAATCTTGTAGCAGAAGGATGCGTGAGATGAAAAGACTGACCTTAAAGAAGAGGGGTCTGAAGGTGACTTCAGAAAGCTTTACAATCATGGCTACTAAACAGTCAATGATGCAATTTTCGGTCTTTCCAATTTCCTCCAGATGATTCTGAAAACGAGGGGTCGACATATTAGGGTACTGATATTTAGCTCTCAATTATTTTGACAAGTGTTGTTTTGAAAGGTGACCCATTCAGGATTTTGAGGGGGGGGAAATAAGCCGACCTCTGAGTGCTGTGCTCTGAAGTCCAGGGCCTCTAAGAAAAATGTGGTGAGCTGAGACTGGTGGGCAGTAAGGACATCCTTTTTCATCACCCCAATGTGCTCCTTCAAGATGCTCATAAACGGACCCATGTGATCCTACAACACAAAAAGGACGCGAGCCTGCCTTATTATTCTTAGTTTAGCAATGCATCTGTGTAAAGGAATGAACCGTACTCCTCGTGTGAACATTTAAAAGTTTGAGGGCCACCCCCTCCTCTCTGAAGTCTCATACCTTCCAGTTCTTCTCAACTTGCTTGTATGTTTTATTGATGGCTGGCAGCAGGACGCGGGGGGACAGCGTGGTGGCCAGGGTCTTTTTAAGAGACGTGAGACGGACATTAGCCTGTGAGGCCGAACCCATCTCACTAGTGATTTTCTCCAAACAAATCACCTACAGGAATACAAATACAGCTGTCAAGGCCATGGAACACTCTTCCAGAACCTCCACACACTCACAAAAGGCTAAGTGAGGACCGCAAGTCCAGTCAAATGCTAGTGCTTAGAAAAGGTTCCGTGTGCTTTAGTGTTGCACAGAATTCCTGAAAAGCCCACTTTCACCTCTGAAGCTGGAACTGGGCCAATGCCTCCTTTTCAGGTGGGAGTGAGGGAGAAGCACACAGCCCCTCCCCAGGGAGCACTCGCCACTGGGGATTTTCTTAGAGGATGGGGAACCCAGGGCTGAGAGAAGAGTCCAGTTCTTGCTAAACAATCTATCTAGACAGCTTTCTCAGATGCACAAGACCCTTCTGTAAGAAGTCCGCATCCTAGCCCTGGCGATAGAGTAGGTGAACCAGGCATGTGATTGGTACCACAGCAGTGCAGCCCCACCCTCACAGCAGCAAGTGACAGACAGCGGCAGTGGAAGAGTTAACAGCTAGCATGAGCGAGGGCGGCCATCGGCAACCCCTGGCTTCTAACACAGTAAAAGACATGGTAGGATTTTGAAAGTGTTCACATCCTAACGGGGGCACACTGTTTTCACAAGTGGTAACAGGCAGGTCGGACACCTGAACACCGAAGATCCCATGCAGGGAGAAAAGAAGTACGGTACATTCTGCAACACAGAGATAAACACCTTAGGCCAAAGTGACCCCATCCTATCAATTTCAGAAGGAAGCCGGAAGGGTGATGAACAAGAAAAAGAGGCACCTGTTTAAAAACAACAACACGCCTTTCAGATCTAAGAATCTTTCTTGGCACACAGGAACAGAAAAGTTACGGGACAAATCAAACCAAGAAGTCTGCCCTTTTTCACTTCTAACTCCTTCCCAATCGGAGCCCCAGCGATGCAGTGGTTACGGGTTGGGATGCAATCTGCATGGTCGGCAGTTCGAAACCACCAGCAGCTCCTCAGGAGAAAGACTGAGCTTTCTGCTCCCACAAACAGTTACAGTCTCGGAAATTCACAGGGGTGGTTATGAGTCAGCAGTGACCCCCAAACCTCATGCTGTCGTCACCACTGCTTACCTCTGACAGGACTCCTTCTAGGTAGGGGCTGATGAAGTGAGGGAGGGTTTCGACAACCTTCTGCAGGGCTGCCAAGGCACTCAGCAAGTAGACCTCGTGGGAGACCAGCTCACTAGTGTTTTTCATGGTTGCCAACAACGACGGCATCAGGCTTAAAACAAAGAGTAAGAGTTTCAGAGCAGTTCTAAACAGAGACTGGAGAATGGAGTACAGCTAGCACATTATGAAAAAAATGCCAAGAACAAAATTTTGTCTGTTACATCCCTATCGCAAGTCTACAAAGCCTGCCTACACATCTCATGTGTCCATGGTTAGATGTCACTGAGTCAAACCCCAATTCATGGTGCTCCCAGGTGCTCCCAAGAGCAATGAATTTCTCATCATCAGTGGTACTGTCAGCACTGATTTTAAAGACAGCAATGACAAGCCTTCAAGTACAGACACTTGTTATGGGCCAGGCGCTGTGCACATAGCCCTACAGGAAAACCTATAAGGCTGCAGAGCTAGTACATGCCAGTGTTAAGGAAGACCCAAGGCTCTCCAGACTTCTGAGCCCGGGCAGCATAAACAAATGGGAATACTGTCCCTTCCAGTTGAACAAATCTAACTGTGCTTCTATGCAAGGCAGGCTTTGGCAGTATGTGCCAGAACCCCCGTGTAAGTGCTCCTGTTCTGAGTCCCGAGGAAAGTACCTGGGTAGCTGGGGTATGGACAGCGCTTCCAGCGTGGCGGTCACCTCTGCGATACACAGCAGCGCACTGCCCAAGACATTCTTCTCCTCCTTCGCTTCCAGTGTGATCAATTTAACTGTGCTGCTCAGGACAGGGACAAATGGCTCTGGATTTTCTGCACCAAAATTTTTACACAAAAGCTTCAGGGTATACAGCGCTGTCTGTCTGTTTATTGCTTGATCTTCCAACTCTCTGGCTTTACGCTGCACAATGGCCAAAAGGACTGGGACTAGTTGGAGGAAACGGTGAACCTAAAGAGGACGGCGGAAACCTCCAATTAATTAAAGATGCACACAACTGCTCTGCCCCTTCTCCACATTGCTCGAGGCCATCGACACGGAGGCCCAGTCTGATGGCTCCACGACCTGCACAAGCGTCTCTCCTTTGTTCGCTGACACACAAAGGCTTGGATTGAGAGAGGCTTGCAATTGTACTCAAGCTAAAGGCTGTACCGAGGAGCTAAGAAGTCCGTTAAGCTGATGTTCCATTCCAAGAGCTCCTATTGCGCACATACACGATGATGAGAATTACCATCACAATTTTAAAAACACATAGCACTATATTCACACAATGACATACTTCAGTTTTAAGTTGCCCCTCGGACGGAACTTTGCCCTGCATTCACTTACAAGTTTCTTCTTCCAAGACACGTTCTGCTGCAGCTTGTTGTTCAAAAGGTCAAGTGCTTTCCGGCGCACAGATGGCAATGGGTTGCCCAACAGCCCTCTGATGACAGGAATGAATGTTTCCGTAGGCAACAAGGCATTGACCTATCAACCAGTTTATATTACAAAAAGAACATGAAAAGGAAGAAGTTCAATTTGGATTATGAAAGACTTCTGTTGATTGTACATATCCTAGGGATCAGGCATCATTTTAAGAAACATTTCTTTTATCACTCTTATTGAAATCTTACAAGCATGCATCATTTGTTAAAACAATTTATTTTAAAAAAAGAAAGAAAATGATGCCAAGAATAAGCAAACTGGTGAAGGCCATCTAATTAAATAATTTAGATAGACTGAAATAACTTTCCTAATTTCCAAGTCAGTGATATTTCTAATATACCACATTATGCCAGCAAAATAGACCCCACCCTACAGCTGGGTCTCTCTGACTCGCGGAAACTGCTGTAGGACATGGGAGAACTGTTCCTAAGGGCTTCCACAGCTTTGACTCTCTATGGGAGCGGACACCTCACCTTCCTCCTGAGCAGGAGCTCATGAGTTCCAACTGCCGGCCTCTCTCGGTTCAGCCCCTGAACATTGATCCAGTGTGCAGCCAGGGATCCTAATATGCCCCAGGCACTACCTAATATCTTTATAGTATATTACACAACTGAATATTGAAAATATTTTCTGAGGCACATGTTCTTATAATTAGAGAAGCAATCCCCTCCCCCCCAGTTTCTTTATAGGCATGAGCTGTTTCCAAGCAAAATTGAGCTTCATTATATTAAGCAAAGATACTGCTAGTTTATTCTGAAAACTTTCAGTCAAATAATCCACAATGACATAAAAATCAATAATTAGGGGGAAAGTGGAACCCACCTTATCTAACATGTCGTAAGCTTTACTAAGAAGAGCTCGCCAAAACTTCACAGTCAGTTTGTCTGCATTTTTCTCCAAGGACTGGGCCACAACATTAATATAGCCAAGAACACTTTCCAACAATCTAAACGAGAGGAGATGTGTTTCGCAAACAGTAGCAGCAAGCATTTAAGCACACACTTATTCCTTCCTCATGCAGATTGTTGCAAATAGAAAACACAATTTGGTAATAAATTATTCTGAACTACATGGAAAGAAAAAGAGCAATTATCATTACAGAAAAACACCAACAGAAAGCAAACAAGCGTCTTTCTCAGGGAGAAAGATGATCCTGTCTCAGGCTCTGAGTTACTCAATCAGTGACTAGTGAGCCCGACTTGTGTTGTACAAGTCGGGGTGCCCAGGGAGTTGTGGCAGTGTCTTTATCAGAAGCACACTGCACACACACGCCCCAGCCCTGAGTGTACTGAAGGATGAGGCAGAAGAACTTGGCACTGCGGAGAAGAGTAGCAGAGAGCACAGACAAAGGAAATGGAGAATCACAAAATAGACGCGAGCAGTTAGGCAAAAATCTAGTCACAATACTTGTTACAGGGAAAGGGCATTGAAGGATATGAGACCCAATGGTGGTCGTGGGACGGCGGTTCGAGGAGGTACACAGAAAAGTCAAAAGGTTCATTTTGAGGATGTGGCAGGAAGGAGAATTTTTGTATCAAAATTCACGACGACAGCATATGATTACAATCCATTGAATAAAATAACAATGTATAAGCTTCCACAGAACTAAAACACCGAAAGACCCTGAAACATTAAAAGACACTAAACCAGGTTAAGGCAAGTATACTTAAACTTCAACACCTTATCACTTGGTTCTCCCATTTGATCTAATTCAAAATTGTTTCTAGTTTTTAATATTTTCTTTCTTTTGGATCGAAGCTATTTTGTGTTTTATTTTGTTATTGTTGTTGGGTGGGGAGGGAGCATGTGGTATGTTTTTCTTTATATGATATCCAGGATTGGTAACTCTAATGAACCAGTAATTGGATTAATAGTCTCTTAGGATTATGGCAGGGGAGATTTTTTTTTTTGGGGGGGGAGGGGGGTCACAAAGGGCAGCTAATAATAATAATAATGTGTCAAACTATTAAAAAGAAGAAAGCCCACAAAACACTACAAAGATGTGACAACTACATACAAACAATATACAATCCTTAAACAGTCTAAAAGATCAGGGAGTGGTGTAAACATATTGTGCGGACAATTAGGGAACTGGAATATGAGCCATCGATTGGATAACAGTATCGCATGAGGGGCTTCCAAAAGTTCAGAGGAAAATTGAAAGAAGAGATAAGGGAATTCCCCATGAGCTTTTAGAAGCCCCTCTGATCAACCAAACGCTCTAGCAGTGCAATAATCCAAGTGCCCAGCTGTTCCTCACAGGCTGGAGATTCGAACCCACCAACGGGTCCACAGAGAAAAGATACCATGACCTGCTTTTGTAAAGATTAGGGCCTAGAAAACCCTGCGGGGACGTTCTACTCCATCCTATACATTCAGAACTGAGTTGACAGCAAGGAGCTCTTATTGTTAATTGTTTTCTGACTTTCATAACTGTACTGCAATTTTACAAGAAAATGCTTTTTTTTTAAAAAGGAAACAAATTTCTGGATTTAGGGGCAAAAGGGCTACAACTCTCAATGGTTCAGTTAAAAATTCTCTGCCAAAAGTATGATAAAGCAAATATGGCAAACATTGTTAACAAGTGGTAAGCCTGGGTAAGGAGCATCAATAAGCCAGGTTAGCACATGCTTAGGGCATCCATCACTTGTCTAAAGCCAAGATCCAGAAGCCAAGCAGCAAGGACAGGGATAGCAAGTGCCATCGCTGAAGGGAACGGGGCAGGGCACTCAATGAGGGCAGTGCCAGCTCCAGTGCTCGAGGCTGCACGCGCTGAAAATACAGTTCACGCATGCTTGCATGGGCACCTGAGCAACAGACTACCACCTGAATAACCTTTCACACTTGTCTTCGATGGGCTGTTACTGTATGACTGAAGCTTACTTTCTTGATAGATCGCTTGGGACTATCTATGTACAAGTTCTGAATGAGCACAGTGAAATATTCTGGAATTCCCATTCTTTTCAAAGTTATCTATAGTTTGTTATGATCCATACAGTCAAATAAATGCCTTGGCATCGTCTATAAAACACAAGCAAGCAGCGTTCCGATATTCTCTACTTTAAGCCAAGACCTATCTGACATCAGCAATGATATCCTTTGTTCTACATCCTCTTTGGAATTCGACTTGACCCTCTGGCAGCTACCTATCAATGTACTGCTGCAACCTTTGTTGGGCGATCTTCAGCAAAATTTTACTTCCATGTGCTTATCAATGACACTGTTCTACAGTTTGAGCCATCTGTGGGACACCTTCTTTGGAATGGGTAGAAATAGTAATCTCTTCTAGTCAGTTGGCCAAGCAGCTGTCTTCCATGCTGAAACATTTGAATTGGTTTCATGTTTTTTGGAGCCTTATGTTTGGCTAATGCCTTAAGTACAGTTTGAACTTCTTCCTTCAGCATCATTAGTTTTTGCTTACATACTACCTCCCGAAATGATGAAACGTTGACTAGTTCTTTTTGGTAAGAGTGAATCTGTATATTTTTTCCATCTTCTTTTAATGCTTCCTGCATCATTCAATATTTTACCCCATGAATCTTTCAATATTGCAACTTGAGGTTTGAAAATTTTTTAACTTAAGATATGCTCAGCATATCATTCCTTCCTGACTCTCTACGTTAGGTCTTTGCACCTTTCATGATAATATTTGTCTTTGTCTTCTTCTCTAGTTTCCCTTGGAAATTTTCTTTCGGTTCTTTGACTTCATCCTTCTTTAAGCAACTCTACGATCAAGAGCAAGTTCAGAGTCTCTTCCGACATCCACTGTGCTCTTCCCTTTCCTGTCCTTTGAATGACCTTCTTGCATTCTTCATGATGTTCCTGATGTCCTCCCTTGGCTCATCAAGTCTTCCATAACTAATGTCCACTGCGTCAAATCTGTCAGAGATTACCTTGAAATTCAGGTGGGCAAGACTCAAGACTGCTGTATGACTCATTTAAGCAAAATTGGTAAAAGTAAATTTTTGGTTGTGGGCGATCAGAGAATTTTCTATTACGGTTGAAACAACTAAGTTCACTGAGTCATCATCCTTGTGGAATATATGGAATAATTTTTAAAGAAAATGTGGTATATAGCAAAAAGTCTTGGTACTCCACAGCCACTGAAAATGTTATACTCCAGTGCGTCTCATTACACTTAAATAGCATACATTCCATTTGTAGATTCTACTGCTAATATTATAGTTGCATTTAAAAGAAATTATAATAAATAAAAAAAATTATATTATGAATAACTAAGACAAACACAAAACAATGGACCTAACAGATAAAGGAATTTTTCCATGAATGTTTTGAAGCCTCTTCAGATACAGATGTTTACATAAAACTCACATATCTCATTCACACGTGTTAGTCAGAGAGGGGCACTACAGATTATTGGTGCTTAGGGCTCTTACAAGCCTTAACCCAGCCCTGAATCTGGGTATAGAGGGTTCTGTGTACTATTCCTTAAATTTGAAATTATATCTAAATATATATCTAAATTATATCTAAAATTAAAAACAAACAGAAAAAAAGAGTAAACATACCTCTGTTCAAGGCCTTTTAAAACCTGAGGACCACCACTTTCAACTACCTAGTTTTTAAAAGAAGAAACAATTAGAAAGTATAAAAATTGATTATTTAAAAAAATTAAAGATGGTTCAATGAAACCCACCTACTTAGATATATAGTATCTGATAGTATCTCTTTGATCCAAGTACAGATCATCCCTATTTACTATAAAACCTATTTCCTCTTAAACTAATTGTATTCTATTTTTTGATGTTCGTAAAGTAAAATAAAGATTCAGAAAAATAGAAAACAATGATCATTTAGCCACCTACTTCTATGAGCTCCTAACTGAGCTAAACATCACACACAAGGCTGTGGTCTCCTGGGTTCTTGTTCTTGGTTCCCCTACTACCCTCGCTCCAAAAAAAAAAAAAAGAGGCACCACCCGAGTTTGCTGTTAAATGTTATCAGAGAGTATATATCACTCAACAACAGGTCCTGGTAATATTAGATTTTTTAGATAGATCTAATTCATTCATTTTAACTGATAGTGGTATTATTTGCTATGTACTATTGCATATTTACCTGTTGTTAGACATTTACTTTATCTCCATTAAAATGTTTCTATTAATATTGCTTAAAAATAACACCGTTTTATTTCTCCCTAGGCATCCAGGCAAATGTTTGCAGATAGTAGTACATATCTAAGAGAGAATTGATCAACTGCAAGGGATGAGCATTATCACTTGATACCACCACTTGACCCACCCAACTTACACGACGCACCCCCGCACAAATTACCACATCCCCATATCCTTGCCACTGTTAACTTCCTTAAAATTTATGAAAATTTGAGAGCACAGTGATGTTTCATGTAACCACATTTTTCCTGCTTCATGGAGTTGACTCTGATGCACAGGCCAGGGTAGAACAGCTCATTACGGTTTCCAAGGCTTAATACCTTGTGAAGAGCAGACAGCCTCGTTTTTATCCTACGGCGCCTCTGGTGAGTTTAAACTGCCAACCTTACAATTAGCAGCCTAAAGCTCATTCCATAGTGCCACTGGGCTCTATTTAGGGAGGTAGAAATCTGCTCTATTCTTTGCTATCTCCAGTGAAAAATGAAGCATTTTGATTTTATGTATAGCAAAAATCTTTTCCTCTTTCTTTTTACTTCATGATTTTTTTTGAACTGAAGCTTTTAAATTATTTTAAATTATTTCCTTATAGTAATCTTTTCCTTGGTATTTTCTTAAAAGTTCTTAATTTGTTTCAATTAAATTAGGTTTAAATTAAAATTTAATTTAATTTAGGGTTTTGGGGGATATATGGTATGAAATCAGACTGTTCTTTTTTCCCCCAAGTGGAAAATAAATTGTGTCTGCTTTAGAAATGTCCATAGATCTCTTGCTCTCCATTCTGTAATACATCTTGTCTACATTCCTTGCACATGCACAGTATATTTCTGGGCTTACAATTCAGCCACATTTATCTGCTTAGATTCATACCAGCGATACCCTGCCCTTTGTATTTTAGGATCAATTTGTCATGGTCATTAAAACAAAATGAAAACAAAAGACACCCCAAACTCGGTGCAACTAGGAAAGTATGTTGAAGTTATAGATTCGCCTGGGGAAAACGGACAGCTCTAACAATGAATCTTCCTATTCAGGATCCTACTTTTCCAACGGGAAAAATGCATCCTATAACAATGAAAATTCTAATTTTTTCTTAAGTTTATTCTTGGTGCATTATAATTTTTTACTTTTATATGGGCTTTTTTCTACTGAGTTTTCTAGTTGGCTGTTAAAGGTGTATAAGATTAATGGTAGCATAATGTAATAATATGCACACAAAAAAAACTCAGTAAGCATACCCGATAAGACAGTGTCTATCCTGATCTGTACAAGTAACTGTGGTGCACAAATTATTAGTTTTAATAATTTATCATTTGATGATTCTTTTTTCTAGTTCTTAGTATTTCATTCCATCCCTTTTATAGAAATGAGGAGGCATCTTTATTCTGCCTTCGTCTAAATTATAGGTTTGCTATAGTTATCTTTTATCAAGCCCCCAAATTCCCATCGATACTATATTGCTAAGAGGATATATTTTTGTTTAGAAATCATGAATGATTTTTAAAAAATAATTTCTCCAAAAATATTACAACTATCATTTGGTTTCTCCTCTTGGTCTGTTACAGTTCTACAGCATAACAGACATTTATTTTACTGTTAAAGCAGTCTTGCATGTCTGGTCATACATTTTTTCCTTTTTGTTTCACATTGCTTCAAACAGAAAAGTGCACAAATCATATATGAAGAACACAACACCATCACAGAAACGTACACCACCAGCTGAGATTATCAGAAGAAAAAACTGGTAACAGCACTTCCACGTTGCTCTCTCACGACTCCAGCCTTCTTGCTCCTCAATTCTCTCCCCACAGTGAGTCCTTTGATGTGTTTGAACTGCTGACCTTGCTTTGAGCAACCCAACATGTAACCCACTATACCACCAGGGCTCCTTTTTACCTCCTAGAAATGGCAGATGCTACCATGACTATAGATGGCTTCTGGTGCAACGATGTTCTTGCCTTTTTGTTGGGTATATACCACTTGAGGTCCGTGGGTGGTATGAATGGTTTGTACTTGACAGCTACCCAATAGATGGCTGTTTGAACTATGCCACAGTTAGCTCTTCTTGTAGAGCAAAGCCAGTGAAACTCAGTTCTACTGTGTAACATAGGAGGTCCTCAATCACTAGAATTGACTTGCTGGCAATGGATCTGGTTACTGCCCCCTCCGGCCTTTATACCACTTGAGAATGTAATGACTGAGTCACACAGCATTTACATATGTTTAACCTTATCATGTAATGGCAAATAGCTTTTGATGGTAAAGCATACTATTTTTTAAATTTTATTTTTAAAGGTGTGTTTGGCTCTACATTTTCATGAGACTTCTGCCAAGCTATTTTCACTAGTTTAAAACACAGTTCCTTTAGGGAAAAAAAAAACATCCTATCACCAACAACATTAAATGAACACACCACCTTTCTGATAAAATGATTAGAAGCCAGGAGCTGAGACATGAAGGACACTGATAAAAATTTAAAATGCCGTAGTTGCTTGCTGCTGTGCGTGTCGATGCTGAAAATCTGTAGTGTTTCTTCTTGCGACTCACTCTTATTACATATTGCTTTCGAAGTGGTTTCTGAAAAACAGCAATGAAATAAGTGACCTCAACCTGAATCCTCAGGATATACATATAACAGTTTTAAAGTGCAGCATGGCGCTCACACATTGCCATCAACTCAATGCGGTGTCATCGGACCCCCGTGGGTTTCCGAAACTGCAACTGTTTACGAGAACAGAAAGCCCAGTCTTTCTCCCAACAAGCTGCTGGTGGTTTTGAACTGCCCACCATGCAGATCACAGCCAAATGTGCAACTACTGCACCAGCAGGAGTCCTCTACAGCATGGTTAATGGGATATCATTTTGAGAAAGATTTATTCTTTTATTGTACCCACAGGTTTTCTTCTTCTAAATCAATGAAATATTTGAATGTTTTCTAACTGTATTTACTAAGAAAGTACTCAACAGCCCTGAGAAGGTGTAAGACAAAACAAGTACAGAATAATACAGCAAACACAGTGATTGAGACAAGCAAATAAAAGGAAGACAATCAATGTGCATCCCAAACATTGTGCGCGTGTGCGTGTACACACACACCACACCACCCCCACTTCCTTCCCCACCCCCACTCCCTTCCTGGCTCTGTTGCTGACAAGCAGGTGCCTGAGTAGATGTAGCATGAGACCTGGTCAAGGAGAGCTGATGAGGTGAACTTGCCACACGGAAAACAGTTCCTGCGCTGTCCACTCTCAGGACTTGATTTCGAATGCACCTGGCTGTTCGGCTTCAAAGGGTGGAGAACTAAAACTTTTCAAAGCATCTGCCCCATACTAATTAAGTCCCTGTGGTGCTGTGATCAGGTGGTACGTTTTAAATTGTCAGTCACTGCTAGTGTGCCATGTCTCCCCCCCTTCTTTTCCTGTAAATGAAAGCAGTAAGGCAAGATCCAGTAACTCAGTGCCATTGCTGGTTGTCCCAGTATAACGTATTCACGAAGGCACTGAAAAGAAAACTACTGCTGAAGACAATTAAAAATTGAATCCAGCAGTACAAAGGAACTGGGAGAAATTCAAGCCAGATTCAGAAGAGGACATGAAGTATCACTGCTAATATCAAGTGGATCGCAGTTAAAAGAAAAGAATGCCATATCGATGTGTACCTGTGTTTAAGTGACTGTGTAAATGAATGTGTGCATCATGACAACCAATGGATAGCATTGAGAAAAATGGGAATTCCACAACACTTCACTGTGCTCATATGGAATCTGTACATAGACCAACAACAGGCAGTTATTTGATACTACATGGTTTAAAATGTACATCTTTTCATCATACTTATTCAATCTGTATGCTGACCAAATAATCCAAGAAGCTAGAGATTAGGATTGGAGGAAGAATCGTTAACAACTTACAATATACACATGACACAACCTTGCTTGCTGATGATTTGGATTATGTACTTACTGCTAAAGATCAAAGATGGCAGCCTTCACTTTGGATCAATAAACATCATGATAAATAAAAGCCTAAAGTTATCAAAGATTTCAATGTACCTGGATCCACAATCAACACTTATGGAAGGAGCAGTCAATAAATCAAAAGGTGTACTGCAAAATCTGCTGCAGAAGACCTCTTTAAAAATGTTAAAAAATAAAGATGTCACTTTGAAGACTAAGGTTTGCCTGGCCCAAACCATGATATTTCCCATAGTCTCATAGGTATGTGACAGCTGGTCAATATATAGAGAAGAATGGAGAACTGCTGCATAGGAAATAGTCTATGGACTGCCAGAGGAAATAAGAAAGTGCTGTTGAAAGGGAGGGTGGCAGGATGCCTCTCGTGTACTTTGGATCGGTGATTATTATTGTATGTGATCAAATGAACAATTACTACTTTTCAAAAAGTTCTTCCAAACATGCACCATGGATCTGAATACTCGCCTGCACTGCACGCATCTTAGCTTTCACATTGAACAATAAACGCTTACCTTCTTTGTCCTCTGGCAGCTGCGTTAGGTACTGGAGGATATTCATCAAGCTTAGCATCTGATGCTGAACACAAAACTCACAACAGACTGAAATCCAAAATTCAGTGTCTGCCTCTAGCGCAGCATCCTGTAAGGAGACAGGAGACAAAGGGAATACTGGTCAAAGCTAAACATGCTGCCATCGAGCCAATTCTGACTCAAAGCGACCTGACAGGACAGGGTAAAACTGCCCCGATGGCTTTCCCAGACTTTACAGCTTTACAGGTATAGACAGCCTCAGTTTCTCCTATAGCTGATATCACGGTATCTATCAAATTGACACTCATTAGTAAACACAAATAAGAGGGAATGTCTAGAAACATTCCTTAGCATGTAAAGTCACTACATACTTATGTAGGCATGTATGTAGCTTATGGTCATGTATCACAAGATGAGTAACAGATAAAGTACTCCTTACATAAAGCAGTCCATTTATTTCATTATGAGGACATCATTCCCAATAATTTGGATTACGATTTTCAGCAGAACCAAATACTTCGTTTTTATAGCAATAACAAGCATGTTATGTCTCCCCACCCCAAAATGGTGCAAATCTCTCCTGCATTTGTTTCCTATATATGTTAAGTGGGAGTGCATTATTTTTTTTAAAAAATGTTATAGTGGTTTACTCTATCATGTACTACCATGCGGATAATTTTATTTTTAAGTCTAACAGTGTATGGCTGTAATGTATTTAAACTAGTTACCCACATCTAGTTCTGAGAAAAGTCAAACCACCTTTGGCAGATGTTTTACTGTGACTAAGAATATTCAGAGTGCCACAGGTTCTGAAAGAAATTTTAAAGAATAGTAAAAAGTAAAATATTATGTGCAAACACTGTGAAATATTGAATATTCAGCATAACCAGCCCCACATTCAGGCTGAAAATTATCACAAAATCTGTGTAATCATTTCCTCTCTACCCCCCCACCATTTATTCTGACCTTTTCTCCATAGGCAGCTACCAGCACGGTTTTAGTGACGTGCTGCTCACAGAGCAGCAGGAGGAGAATCCAGAGGAATCTCTGTGCGCCCAGGGTATCCACAAGCTGAACCAGGATGGGCAGGCGCCTGTGCTCTGGCACATGTGGCAGTGCATCCACAAACACATTAATGATTTTCATCACAATTTGTTCAATGTTTCTTGTGACTTCTAGAGACGCTCCAGCATCAGACTGTAACACAACAGAGACAATGAATAAGAACAAAGGACCCACCACCAAATGAGTACATTTCCACTGTAGAAAACAAAAAAGGTTATTCAAAGAACTTTAATAAGCAGAGTCCAATCAATCAATTAATGGATAGTCAGTGAGTAGCAACTATGTCCCAGCAACGGTTTGGTCCCCAGGTAGGTATGAAGTATATGATTTCAGTGAAGCCTGATCCAAAGGAAATTTATGATCTGCACAAAGCAAATCAGACACGTGAACAGGTGACTGCGGGAAACCAAAAATGGCAGGTGCTAAATCCGTGGCACTAGAAGCTTCTGGAAGGGATGCCAAGATCCACCAGGACATACAGGGTGAGACAAATGGGCATCACCTTCATAAGCAGAAAGCAGAATAGGTCAGTAATCCTTTGGTACTTTCAGAATAAAATTCAAAAGGTTTTACTATGGTTTGGTCTTCAAATATATTTGTTAAATACATATGTATATTATATGCATGAATGAATGCTTCAAACCTGCTCTTGGCTGAACCAAGCACCCAGAATTCTTCAAGCACACTGTGAACGTTTTCAGATGATATTCTTTTCTCAGGCTAAAGACTTGGTCAGTTCATTAATGAAATCTTATTCTCCTTTCAAAGGCTATTTCCTAGGAAACTTTCTGGTTATCCAAGGACTTTTCCCTATTCTTCAGCATTTTTCTTTTAAAAACTCATCATTTTACTAGGGGGCTCTTACAAATCTTATAAAAATCTAACACATTTTGGTACCAGGAGTGCTTCTAGAGAAACAAAATCATAAATATGGGCTTCTTAAATTGGCTCTCCTGCCTGATTAGTCTTAACACTAGTGATGCTACTTCAACATCCCAATGCATGGTTAAGTCTGCTACTCCTCCTAATCCATGGTGTGAAATAGCAAAAATAATACCTAAAGTAGCACCACTGATAGATGAGGTGCTGGTTAAAGGACAGGCTCTGAGTGATAGTATATGTGATATTTTCCAGGAGTTTTGTAAGGATGACAAGTATAGGGAAGCTGGTTGGCTTGTCCTTCTTACAATGGACAGTGTGACTAAGGAGAGGGATGACCTCAGAGCCTCAAAAGCGCGCCTCAAGTGAAGACTAACAGATTAAAAAACTTCCTTCTGTGCTACAAAGGAGAGCCTTCTCTCCTCTAGTAAAAGAGCTGACATTGCTGAGAATCGGGTCCAGAGTCTCATTATACGAGTGGCTGAATTACAACGGCAGCTGAATTGCAGATCTAGAACAGTGTCAGAAACCAAAGTAAGGGCATTGATTGGGAAAAGTTGGGATCCTGAAACATGGGATGGGAACATATGGGCTGATGATCCAGAAGAGGAGGATACTGAGCCCTTAGAAACAATTGACCCAACCCCAGTCAATAGATCCACCCCACTCCTGGTAGCAAAATATGTTAGACAGGGTTCTCTAGAGAGATAAAACCAAATTGCTGATAATTTAATATATTTATTTATAAAGATAATTAGATATAAAACATAAGAAATGAACTGTTAAATTATATACAGATAAATATATAACACAAGAAACGAACAGTTAAATTATAAAGCAGTACAAATGGCTCAGTGCAACTCACTCCTGTGAGAGAGAGTTGTGAGACACTAGCAGTCCTTAAAGTCTAGTCTGCTGCCAGGTCTTCCCCTATATATAGAGAGAGCTAGGCTGTCTCAGCACAGCAGCCAATCACAAGGCAGGTCACCAACCACCAGTCCCCAGCTCCAGAGATGTCTTAAAGAGACCTCAACTTACAGCGACACAGTTCACAAGCTAGGCGTCCCACAGGTAGTGTAGCCTGTAAATTGAGGCACAGAACAAGCAAGGCAGCCGCACACTGGTCCGATGATCAAAGAGTGAGAGACAAGAAAGGCGAGGCTCACGGAGCCATTTATCTCTCTGCCCTTCAGTTAATTGCACTTGTATTTATCAGCCAGGCTGGCACAATAAACTATCTCAAATAGTATTAAGTCGACTTGTAAATATGTTGCCATCAACATTTCTAAAACAATTTTTCTACTTAAGCCCTTGGTATTAGCTCCTCTTTTTTACCTCTCTCTCCCATCCTCATGAATCTTTCATAAATTATATTACTGTGATTTCGTGTCTTACACTGTCCGTTGTCTCTTTCACCCACTTTCGGTTATTCGTTCCCCTGGGGCTGGGGTTATATATCCAACCTTGTGATGGGTTCATGTTTCTCCTCCTCTCCTCCAGACCCCCCATCCCCCAACCTCATGATATCACTACTCCCACTACTGTTCCTAAGTGTTTTATGTCCTGAATTCCATCTGTTGAGTTCTTATCTGTACCAATGTGCGCACTCCTGTCTAGTCAGATTTGTAAGGTAGAACTGGGTCATGGTAGTGGGGGAAAGGAAGCATTCAGGAACCAGAGGAATGATGTATGTTTCGTCAATGCTGTACTGCACCCTGATTGAACCGTCCCTTCTTTGTAACCCTTCTGAGCAGGAATGTTTTGGATCTTTTGATACCTGACACTCGCTTCTGCGAACACCTCATAATCACACAGGCTGGTGTGCTTCTTTCAGGTGGGCTTAGCTGCTTCTTTAACTTCAAGCCTTTAAGATCCCAGACTCTACATCTTTTGATAGCTGGGCACCATCCGCTTTCGTCACCACATTTGCTTACACACCCACTTTGTCTTCAGTGATGGTTTCGAGAAGGTGAGTATCAAAGCGTGCCAGGTTATTAGAACAAAGTGTTCTTGTGTTAAGGGAGGCCTTGAATAGAGGCCCAAAGTCCGACTGCTATTATAATACTTATTAACATATAAATATATGTACATTGGCCTCTATCCCTTTCATTATAAATTAATACATTTACATATATACAAACCTATAACTACACCTCTATAAATAGCTTTTGCCTCCTATTTCTTTCCTCCATTTCCTTTCACCTTCCTCCTATCCCACTATCATGCTCACCATCCATTCAGCTCTAATTCCTCTCGGATATACGTTGTACTGGATCAAACCCCAACAGGCATTATATGCCCTCCTCACCATCAATTTTAGATCTCTTATTGTTCCTTTATCCCTGAGTTTGTTGCTGCCCCACTCCTCCTCCCTGCCCCCACTCTCCCATGTCTCCCGGAACTGGAGGTCCCACTGTTTTCTCCTTGGCATTGTTCGTCCTACCTATCTTATATAGACAGACACAGGGCAAAAGAAAAAGAAAACCATTTACAATCTTAATTTTAACTCCTTGATTACTTAGCACTTACAGAATGTTTGGTAAATGGCTGTTGAATTGCATATTTGCCAGTGTAGTTCTGAAATGTGCTATCTTCAGTTTATTACAATGAAGCTAGATCCCACTGAATGATATTATTGTGAAATTGATGCAATGTTCTGAAACATAAAGCAAAGATAATTTCATTTTGTCCTAATAAGATATTTTTATATTTATACACTTGCCACAAAATGGGACGGGCTGGGCCCCAGTCTCAAATGGCTGCCCCTCCCCCCAGAAGAATTTATTTCACAGGATGGCACTGAATCCGCAGCTCCGGGAGAGGGACCTATCTGATCGGAGCACACAAGAGCAGATGACAGGGGGAGGAGGAGAGACTGGAGCACACCCTGGCCCACTAGGCCTTGAGGACGATGACCCCAATTAGGAACAGCCAGTCCACATAGGGGCCCACATGGCCAGCCCCACTATGAGACATGATGCCCCTCACTGACCCATGGCCCCGTGGGGAACACCAGAGACAGTGTGGGAATTACACCCGATCTGATCCCGCCATACCGAGGCAAAGCACTGGGGGAGTGCAGCGGAACAGCAAGGGAATGGAGCGGCAAGGTCCCCAGGGAATGCTGAAGGCAGGCTTTGGGGGCAGGGCATGGTGCCCCAACAGACTGGACTAGAAAATCCTCCTCAAGGTCAACGATCCTTGAACTAACTACAAGCTTTTCTTTCTTGGTGTGTTTTAATTTGTTCTTTGTCAGTGGTTTGTTGTTGTTGCTGTTTTGTTGTACACTGTGGCTTGGTTTTGCCCGGTCTTGTTTTTGTGTATGTTATTATCTCTGCAGGTCTGTCTAAATAAGATAGGCTGGATGAACAATCTGGAGGAGAAAACAATGGGAGAAGGGGAGGTGGGGGGAAAGGAAGTGGTGTTAACAAACCCAGGGACAAGGGAACAACAAGTGATCCAAATTGGTGGTGAGGTGGGTGTGGGA